TAATAAATGATGTCTATAATAACTAATCCTATTATTCTAATACATGATTTCTGTAACTGATAATTGAAATGCTATTAACTCTTTTGTTTAAAATTTTATTTCTATTATTATGATATATGGTCTCTAAACTAAAAGTATTTCTTGAACAAGCAAAAAATAATTCTTAAACGTTTTTTATTATATAATCTCGTTAAAATTTGTTACTTGAATAAAGAAACAGCAACAAAGGATTTGTTTTGGCTTCATGGATGATTAAGTTCTGGGGGTCTTTTTTAAGTAATAACGGGAAATTATACTGGGTTTTCAAATTTAGGTAGGTACACATTTAATTGTATTCTTACTCTCTCTGTGAGATTTCAGCAGTTGAGTAGTAGCAGATTAGGCGGCGTAGCATGCAGCAATGGTACACGAGGCTTCCTGAGGACAACTGTTGGGTAAGTAACACTTATTTATAAGTAACACTTATTACTGTTGGGTAATTGTAAGGCTTATAAAGTGATAGTTCTAAACATTATATGTGTAATTATAGCCGGACTTGACGTTAACGCCGAGAATATTTTTAATGCTTTACTTAATTGTTTGGTTTTGTTAGTTATTGCATTTGTTTTATTAAATAGCAACTAAAACAACTGCATCAACGGAAAATTCAAAGAAAAGTTTGTTCCGCAGTTTTAGAATGAAAGCACTGTATTATGGAAGCTTAGCCGCATGGAGCCTCGAATTCCTTGCTTGTCATGAAAAGCCTCGAATCCTTTTTACCCTTACTTCGGGTGACCACTCGTACTCAAATCCGTTGATTTCAGCACCGAATAATCGATTAGTCACTCGATTCTAATGAAAGACTGTTGTTTCAACTCTAGTTTAATTCATATCCATGAATAGTGGTCTTTTGTCAAATTATCAGTCACCTTACAAATTCTCAGTTAAACATAAAAATCGTTTTCCTCAAAAAAGTCCCTAGAAAAGGGGGGAAATGAAAATCCTCCCCAAGCCATTAAGTTTTTGAAATAGCGTTCAGTGGCGAAAAATCAATATACATAACACCTACAATTTTCTGACTCAGTTCTTTCTCACTTTGCATATCTACTCAGAATTTCTTGACATCAAATGCTTGTGGTGAGTGTTTCATTTAAAACAATATTCATTTCTAAAATATATTAGATACACATGTAAGGATCTTAAGTTTTACTAACGTTTATTTTATTTTAAATCTTTACTATCACTTCTTATTTTCTACTTCCGGCCAGAATTATAAGCGTTAACGTATTTATGCAAAGTTTGTCTGGTGAACGCCAAGTACTTAAGTTGTGGCTTTTTGCCAAGCGAAAGAGAGGAAGCAGTTAGTCGAAGCAGGCCGCTTACCTTAGAAGTTTTACTCAGTTGCTGGTTGCCTTCCAGGCCAGAGGTTTAATCCTCTTGATAATTTTAAACGTATTGTAGTGTTCACAGTTTCTCTGTACTACATACGGCTTCCTGTTAATATAAGGCCAATCTTCCACGTTTATTATTTCAAAGTTAAGAGTTTAGTTTCATTTTTATATTTTTACGTTTAGACCACAAGTAGTGGGTCTTTGTATTCCGAAGTACGGAAGTTATTGTAAATAGAGAAAAATAAAGGGTTTTGTATACCCTTCCTGTGTATCCTGTCTACTTCCCACAGTTATTGAACATAGCTTTAGTAAGCTCTCTGTTCCGAGTCAGGTCCTTGCATGTTCCCGAAGAAAGTAAGACGGAACATTGAACCTGATACACATAATTTCCGATCTAATGGAAAGCTTTTGAAATGTTGCTAATATCTAAGTTTCAGACGCCTTTCACATTTGTTCATTAACAAAGCGTAGAGAAACATACTTTGTGACAATGAGATGAAATAAATGTCTTACTTAAGAACACGAGCTTTGACATCAGAATTTTTTAGTAGCTGTGTAATTATATAACAGTTATTTTAATTTCAAAGTCTCTTTCATATCAGTTCTTGTTTTCACATACAACGCCTTACAGAATGAGGTTTTAGAATCTCATTGAATGATGAGTTAGAAAAGTAATTAAGGAAGGTTGAACTTATTTCGATAGAGACTGTGAGGAATCCTTAGTAGCGCGTGCTTGCCTTCGGGCTAAATTTCTCTTGAAACTGTTACGCTCGGCAATATTATTACGCGCCTTTTGATATTCGATGGCTAATTTAAATTAAGGGACAACTACGTTATATACTTGTCTCTAGCTTCGACTAAGTCTCCTTTAGTTAGTTATAGTTTAGTTTCTTATTTCTTATTCTGAGTTAAAGCCCGAGTAGAGGCTTCCTGTAAGCCCGAGAAGGGGCTAACTGCTATTCTTATTTGAATGAATAAAAGGGTATTTTAAACCTTCTCGGGTCTACGTTTTAGTTATTTGAACTCAGCATAAGTCACTACACAGTTCACTAGGTTCCTCGACGTTCATCTTAGAAAAAAACAGCGAGGAACCTTGCAACTATATTAGTTACAAATAATTTTTCTTTATTCAGATTTATCTGTACCTCTAACTAATGAGCAAAATGGCGCCAAAATTTGTACATGTACTTACTATTCAAGAAGCGAAGAGAAGAATTTGCGAAAACAGAATTCGATTTCAAAATCTACCAAGGCTCTTTCTTCTTGGCTCTTTTCAGTAGGTCGTAAAGGGAATTAAGGTCATTTAATGTCATGTTCTGTTATTATGGGTTTTGCGACTTGCAACTTTGTTACTGCGACTATCCACAGACAAAAGTACATAGATAGTGTACTACTTTGTCCCGTAGTGTACTACTTTTCTAGATAGCGACAAATTTTTTCAGTTAGACAGAACTTTAAAATTAAAAAACTTCACATAATCCTCATAACTTGATTAATGTAAGTAAAAGTTTTGATGGTCGCACCTTTTTATTTTGAGCTAAAGACAATTATAAATACAGAGACTTATAATCACCTTGTATATTTTTGTAGTCACTTATCTGACTTATCTGACAGTAACATGATTAGTATAGTATTAGTAGATTTGATTATTTAAGCTAACGAAATATATCGTTGACAGGAGTGTATAATTACGTTCTGTCATTGGCATGGGCTTTGGACACTTTATAGAGATCATTCACATGAGGGCTTTGCGGTCACAAAAAAATTAAGGTAAAAAGGGATTCTCCCTTTCCTCCCGCAACATAAAAACTTGGACGAATTTTGCCTATCTGCAGGAAAAAGTGATTGTTCGTTGTTTGACACAGATCGCGTGGAAATTTATTATTACGTAAGCAAAGCGAGCTTTCTGCTCCAAAGTTTGCATTTAGTTTAAAGTACTTTACATGTATATTACATGTACATTACTACAACATTATTAAACATTGTTAACAGTGTTTAACGATGTTTTGACCCGAAGCATAGTGTGCAATGAAGCTTTTGATTAATTTCAAGAGATGATTTGTTTCGTTAACTTTACTGCTCATTGTTGCACAAAGTTTGAGTTACATTTTAATTGATCCAACTTCGTTTAATCTTCATTTAATATTATTTATTTATTATTTAGTTTTGTTTAATGTTTGTATAATATTAAGTTTTAAAACGTATGTACAACTTTAAGTTGGATTTATTCTCCATCGTATAGCTCTCCCATTCTCATTCCCATACCATAGCGAGATTCACGAATTCGTTTATTCATTTCGTTAGTAAAATGGGAACTTACTAATTTATGCATAAAACTCACTGTTTACTGCCTGCCAAGGTGGGGGGGGGACACAGGGGCATAGTTTTCATTCGTGACCTAACAGATAATCAGCCAGAACGCGTAAGTCGATCACTCGCATGTTGCCGAACACCTACGTCATTGAAAAACTGAAGCATAAATAAATGTTTCATTAATGTATGCATACTGTAAATTTCTGGAGTTTAATTTTAACCCTTCCGAAATCTAACATAAAGTTCAATCACATCTCTGTCGTATAATCATTGAGACGTCTCACTCGACACGACAAAATACAGTTTCCAGTCACTGTGACAGTCGATATATAACGTTCACAAAAGCAAGTACGAAGGCTGCCATACCTAATGTCGGGAGAGAGAAGTACAGCTAGTCTTAAAACGTTTCAGTTAAGTCTTACATTTAAATGAAGTATTTTAATTTTTTATTGATTTATAAAGTATTTCTCCCGCCTTCCTAGCATACCTTCATGGTGTGGTGGTCAGCACGCTCGACGCGTATTGGAGAGGTCCGTGGCTCGATTCCCGGCGAAAGCGTTGCTAATTTTTCATCTTTACTTGTTTCAAAAATAATCCTAATGTTTTTACAATGGCGCCCGAATTAAAAGGGTGGTGGATGATGATTCTCCACACCGAGGATTTGGCTTTGGCAATTAGGTCCCCAAAAAACCCCAGTCGCTCTTTAAAAAGGGGAGTATGTAAGGTATTTCTCCCGCCTTCCTAGCATGCCTTCGTGGTGTAGTGGTCTGCACGCTGGGCGCGTATTCCAGATTCCCGGCGAAGGCTTTGCTCATTTTTCATCTCTCCTGCTTCCAATTAACCTAATGTCTCTACAGATTATTTAATTTATTTCAGTTAATACTTGCGTAAAAATGGTTTTTCAAATAATTTTATCAGTGAAAGAACATATTACTACTTATTTTTTTAATTTGGAATAGACTTTTCGGCGATCTTCTGATTCCTTTAGATTTCGTAAAGTAGAATCTAGAGAAAAAAATAATAAACACAAACTGTGTTTTAATTAATTACTAAAGGGCATTCCAGAGATGAGATATTTGAATATGCTGCGAAATGACTTAATTAGAAAAAAAAATGCGTGTGTGTAGACACGACATGGATATTCCAGTTGGGAACTTGCCCCATCCCCGAAAGAATCTATTTAGATTTTTTTTATACAATAACGATTATATTTTCTCTCTAACTATAATATGAGGAAAGTAGTCAGAAATAATTATAAAATTCTGCAATTTAGGAGCTGAATATGGTAAGTTTGATTCATTTTACATAAATAAGTACCTTTGCTAAAACGGATTTTAGTAACTGGATTCTTTTCGAGGTCCACTATTTTTTTGGAGATGTCTTTGGCATCAGAGTAGTTGTACACAAAACAGGATGACGAAGCTCTGGAATTTATCCTTTCATAATAAGTCTGAGATGTGGTGTATGCGTCTCCATTCCGGTATCGTGTGACCTAATAAAAAGATACAATTTTCACTTTTAAAATATCACGCATTCTTCATATGTTCAATAATATTAAAAATTAACAGAACTAAGCAAAACACACTATAGTCTGTTACTTTATAACAAAAACTTCAGGGACATTTTTTCCCGTTTGCTTAGGAATCATGGTAATAAAAACTGCGGCAGATGGTCGAGTTGCCAAATTGGCTTCTTTTTTTCCATTTCATTGTCGTTCAGTGTGTGTTGCGTCCTAAAAAGTGCACGAATGAAGGCTAACTTAAACGAGTCTCAAATGTTCTGAAAAAAAAATAAGTGCTGTGTAGTGATGACGACACGAGTTCCAATCGCAAATTGGGCAGGGGGGTCAAAGGCCTTGAAGTAACTATTTTAAAGTAACAGACGCAACGAATAACTATTTTAAAGTAACAGATGCCTCGTTAATACGCATCGAATCGAGTTTACTATTTCTTTTTTTATGAATTAGACGTTATACTAAGCAACTAGCTGAGGCTTTATGTTTACTAACCAGTTTTAATTTCATTACTTTCCTTTTTTTCTCTCACGTTTGAGCGGAAAGTGTATAAGTGATAGACAAGCGTTACAACTGAAAATTGACAATAATATGTAGTCTTATATCTCTGCAACTTTTCGATCCCGCTGCGTATTAAAGCTGATAGCAATTTTGAAGGTGCCTAAAAGATGAATATTTTGTACGGTTAAATTTAGTTTTCAAGTTTTACAAAATAAGAGCATTTCTTAAAATAGTTTCATAACTTTACAAAATAAACTCACATTTTCATAAAATGTCAAATGCTGCATCGTTGACTTGTTAACCTCCAAATAAATAATACAAAAACGTCTATCAAGATTTTAAATTGCTTTTAAACTGGCCCTTCAAATGAGCGAATTATTTTAATTTATGATTACTGTTAGTTTGGGTATCCTAAAAAGAGAATTCAAAACAAATAAAACTATTTTAATTTGTATTTCAAACTTAAATTGCTGTTATTAGATCAGTTGAAACATTTTAATACAAAGAGGAAAATTCGCCAAGAACTTCAAGTATTATTTAGTAAACAATCTAGAATTGTTGCGTTTCGTCTATCGCAGCGTTTCTCAAACTTTTTTCAAGTGGGGACAATTTTTATAAATTATAATATTCTGCTGATCACCTTATTATTCTCTCTTTACAAAGAAGTTTCGTATGTTACTACCAGCCTCTTGATATTCCCAAAATACAGTTAATTAAAATTTATTTAATTTTATATTAGTATAAAATAAGAAATAAGTTAATGGAAGAAAATTTTTATGTTTGTTCTTAATAATTCGAGTCTATTCGAGTTTGGATAATCTTGACCTCATAAACAAAAATTAAATAAATGTTGGTATTCACATTCATGAAATAGATGAGCCTGCCGATTCTTTTACAGTTGTTTTATGCTTGGATGTATGTTGAAAAGAAGCATTACGAACCTACTGCTTTAAATGTTTCTTTTGTTGCTAGTACTACTAGAGTTAGAAGTTCGTAGGTAGGGTGATCCGTAATAAATTTGGTAAAACGTGAGTGTTCTGGAGGAGGGAAATGATATTGATTGCCATGTACCATGCGCAATTAAAAATATGAGATTTTACACTATAATTTGGTAGTAGGGTTTAGTGTAAGCAGTTAATTTGAATTTTTTAATTTTGTCGTTTTTGAAAATCTAGAAGAATCATAAAGGCAGGTTTTGAGGGCTATTTGTGTCCTGTGGACCACAGACTGAGAAACGGGTCTAGAGCTCTAATATGTGATGATCTAGAGCGTAATTTATTGATGGTCTAAAGCAAGGATTCCCGACCTTTTTCTGGCATTAACTCCTTTTTAAAAGAATGATTTTCGTCATCATCACCTTTACATTTTCTTTATGATATTCAGCATATATCAAAATAATACTACTAAAATTGCACATAAATGACTTAAAGGTAATATTTATACTGAGAATATGAAAAATGTTTTGTAAAAAATAGATTATTAGGTTTGTTTCTTCTTTTTACCAGTTTATTTATTCACTTATTTATTTTGGCATTATCATTACTTCTATTTTGACAAATATTTAAACACGCTTTCATGCAAAAAGTATCACAGATTCTAATCGCACGGAAGTTCAATTTTGTATTTATGTGACGGCTGCGTCGGATATATTTATGCAATTCTTTTAATATTTGACTAATTTTTTTCCTCCTTAGTTAAAAAATTTCTTCTTGTTATGGTAAGTAAATTACTGACTTGACTAAGGCCTACTTCCGTTGTGTAGGAGAAGGGAACCGTTAACAATTTTGATTCAGAAACAAATTTTATTTTTGGGGTAATTCTCTTGGATGATTTTTAAATTCCAAAATTTAACGTATGCATGTGTTTTAAATAAGACTTTATTTTGTATGATGTAGCTTTATATAAAAAATTAATCAACAATTTCAATAATAATTTTTTGTTATCAATGGGGTCTTGATTACGCGGGTTAATTGCTGGTGCATATTTGGCTCTCGACCCCTTGATCATCATTGACTCACTTTAAAATTTCATTGAACCCCGTTTGAAACCCCTCGTCTACAATACATGATAGCATTTCTATATATCTGCTGGAAAAGAGCATTTTACACTTAGTTACATTAATATTTAATTTATATTTTCATTTAATTTTATTTTTTATTTATATTTAGGTTATATTTATATATAAAATGAATTGCGTTTTTAATTAAATTTTTGTACATGGCATGAAAAAGTATTTTTAAGAACATACTAAATACTGAAACGTGATGCTACTGCAGTATTTGATGCTCAGTTAGTCACAATAAATTTGTAATACAACTTACGTTCTTTTATTGCTCGACATAATCTTGAAACTAGTTCATGACATTAAAAATTTTTTTAGATAATTATCCTGTCAATGGATACTTTGGATACTTTTTGAGAACTAAAATGAATGATTGCTGCACCGAAGAGCAGGAAATGGCGCTTTTTTACGCTTCAGAAAATTTTAATTAGCATCAGGTATTTCCTTCGGAAATATTTTAGAGGAATCCGTCTTTTTTCAAAGAACCTGATAATTGTAGATGCTTCCCTTTTTATATACTTTTTTTAATTTCCAGACTATTATTTGATACTTCCACGCTGCTGAGCGACAATAAGATGTTCGCATAAAAAATGCTCATTTACACTGTTCCCTATATCATTAGGAAGGGTCTTTGAGTTGATTGATTTTTTAAGGAGACGCGAGTTCTTTGCTTTGTATCAGCTACGCGAAGGAGTTATTTTTTCCGTAACAATCTGTCTATTCAAGAAACTCTTTTATCTGTAAGGACTTTCATTTACAGAAAATAAAACTCATGTCTTGTTAAAAAAATTTAAGAATTTTCTTTTTATTATTATTGTCTTTTCAAAAAGATAATTGAGAAACTAACTGCATAGAAAGAAAATTTGTTGCCTGAAAAATGACAACAATTGCCCCTGCAGGTTTCTGTTTATCAAAAATTATGAGTTTCATGTTTAGAAAAATATGGGGGTTTAACTAGAAAGTATGAACAAGCAAGAGAAGTACGTACATAAATACATCATACTTTACTTATAACAGTTAAAATGTTAACATAATACGATGAGACAATATTAGCGCAATGTCGGTATTAGAAATTATGAATGAAGTGCTTAAGTCTTCAAGGACGGAGTACATTTTTAACAGTTCGTATCTCGTACGAAGCAAAAAATAATTAAAATACACATTTAAAAAATATTTGCAGTCCATAGTTTTTATTAGGAAAGAAATGAGAAATTTTAAATCTTTGCTTTCAGTTAATATGTAAAGTTCTGCAAACATTTGCACATGTATGGAACATGCAATCACAGTTACCATGAAATGATACATCAGTACTATGCACCTGATTTCCTCATTTCTAGGTATCATATCGCGTATTATTCATACCCATCATCAGTCATCGGTGACTGACATTATACGTTCCCTTCAAATCGCATAGTCACCGGTGACATCATTTTTCGTTCAAGCCGCGTCAAGCACTGTTTACTGACTATATAATATGTAAAAAACTGTAATCTTTTATCAATCTACCGATCTTCAATCAACAGCATATCTGTGAAATCATATAGCGCGGGCTGAAGGGAAGGAAATACAAAACAGGCTTGGTGCTAAACGTGCTAAATGGTTAATGGAACAATTTTCAGAATAAGTATTTGAAGAAAGAATTGAGCATCAGAACAATTCCTCGTTAACAGAAGGAAAATTTGTGACTGAACGCAGAAATATTATTTAGAAATTAATACATAAAAGACGCACTATACCCATAAGCAAATTAGTAATACTCATGAATATAATAGCAAGATATTAACTATTTTCTAATAACGTACGTATTAAAACTAAAAACACACGTATTATAATTAAATTAACTTTCAATCTGCTCTTTTTTGTACTTCCTTTTCATTTTACTTGCCTTTTATGAAGAACAATAAGTGTTTCTTAGAGATTTGGTAAACCTAAGTCCACACACACTGTTTACTTTTCTTATGCTGCTTAGTTTCTTTAAATAACTTTCAGGCAACTTAGTATTTTAATCAGATTACGATGAAAATAAACAAATGCGAAATTTGAGTGAATTAAATGTAAAATACTCTTCTTAAATAAAATACATATATAGGAAAAATATTTAAGCTTTTTCTAATTTTTGCCACTTTGGTATTCATTTATTTAGGAACTGAAAACTGTGTTCTGTGAGCTTTCACTAAGTTATATAGTGCTTTTCCAATAACATTGTGTAATTCTGACTCAGCAGAAAAAATAGTATTACTATTCAAAAAACTAATATATAATTCCCCACATTGTGGACTGAGTACAGTTACAGGACTGTTAATAGCGTTTATCGCCTTTTCGCTAATCAATATAACAAAACCTTCTTACACAATTTTAATAAGAAAACTAGAAATTCATGTATTGAGAACAATTTTCTAAAATAACATATTTTCCTGCGAAAACTTCTTTTGTAACAACAAATGGAGAGAATAAATGAAACTTAAATAACTTCATAGTTAATAACACTGATAAAGAATTAAAAGGGAAAGCTCTCAAAAGTTATTCGATAGTTTTAAATTGCGCAAAATATTGCATGGAAGTAAGCGAAAGACTGCAAAAAATTGTTAATTTCTAATTATATATTAGTAATTAAGGAAGAATCCAAGCCGTAAAAAGTTTTGTAAATCTTATCTAATATAAAAAGCAAGAAAAGAAATTAATAGAAAAATACTACATTTAAGCTGGAAAAAAAACGAAAAGCAAATTTCTGATTACTGAAGTTTTTCTATTTAAGGGTTTAATTCATAATAATTGCCGGACATTGTGTAATCATTTATATACAAACGTTAATGAGTATTTAAAGAAGTGATCTACATGAACTGTAAGTAATCATGTATGCAAGGCAATCTGAATAAATGTACTGAGCATTTGATAGACAAATCTTAGTAATTACTGAAGCATTTTGTGTGCAGTTGCATAAAGGTTTTTAAAGAGAAAACCCAAGATACACTTTATTTAATGAGCAAAGACGATGAAACATCAAGGATTACAAAATATTTGGACCATTAAGTAATACTCTTTGATGAACTCTCAAGTGTAAAATTTAAGCTAGCTCTTATGGATTTAAGAGTTAATTCAGTAGTGATATTATCACAAAACTTTTCTAAATTAAAACTCTGAATGGAGAGTATAGGTGAATTAATTGGATGAATCTTAAATGTGTTACTTTTTGTTAATTCGGAGTCATTCAGTGGGCTTCGTTAAAATGTGGATCAATAATTTTTCTACATTATTTTACTTATTGTAAAATATATAACTTTAATATATTTTTTGTAAAAGCTAGAGGATTAATATAAGCTAATCTGAGTTTTTGTAGTGAAGAAGCTAGGTTAGGGAAATTAAATATCTTCAATTTAGAAATTTTTCTTTACGAATATCTGGATGTTAAAAATGACTACCTAAATTAGGAGTATAAATTTTAAAAATGTAGATAAAACAGATGACAAGAATGTTATAAAAGATGTTATTGAAACATATGACGGGAATATAATAAGTAAACTCTATTAAACTCTATAGATAGTAAGTTCATAAAACAAATAATAAACTTCACAAAATAAACCGATGGTTAATTTATTTATCTAGTTATATTATTTTATTTGTACTATCAAAACAGTTACTAAGAAAAATTATCTAACTAAAATCCTCTAATTAGATTTGAACCCTAATGTAGCTAGTTATTATCCCAAAAGGTACTCTAAATTCTAACTCAAAATATTACATTTTCGCACAAGCTTCAAATTCTAACTTACAAAAGTTTATTACTATATCTTTGGCTCACAATTTAGAAGTTTAACAAGTTAAGAGGTATCCCTTTGAAGGAGATCATGCAACTCATGGCTTCCAGGAACTGTTTGCAATAAAGCTAGGAAATTACCTGAAACATGATAGAAAACGCCTACTCCGATGCACGTTTATATCGACTGAATCAAGTAAACATTAAATAAACTTTAAGTTGCGAAAAGTTCCAATTCTATAGGAATTTATCTGTGTATACAATTCACAGATCAAGTATTATAAGCAGACAAATGCTTGGATTTTCTATTATATACAGCAGTCTAAGTTACTCTTGTTTTGATCAGACTAGATGCATTTTAGGAGAATTCTCAAGTGTTCTTATTAGTAAATTTTTCATTTACGTATTTTTGGAGCGATTGGGGATAGAAATGTGGGGAAGAAAAGTCGAAAAAGTTAACTGTTGAACAAAGTAATAAAACTTTACAAATAAATATGAAAACAATTTTATCAATTAAGTGCAATTAAAATGAATAAGAGATTCATAAGGATGCTAATTAATAAATTAGGCCTTTATGCCTATTTTCTAAATGAAAAATATGTATATACATTGAAATGTACAGGGAGTGGTAGGCATTTTAAGCATTTAAGTGATAACTGTCAATAATTACGTATTTATTTACCTTGTTTATTTCATAACCATTATTAAATTTACGCGAGGGAAAATAACATTTATTCTCTCCAAAAATTCCTGCCTGAGGACTTCCTAATGTACAGTTAGCACGAGATCTAGTAGCTGACATTCATGATCAGTTACAGTCACGCACAGAGGATTTGATTAACGAGCAGAGGGGATTGCTCTTTGAGAGAACTGAGTATATAAAAGGCAGAGAAAGATTCGGTGGTGACCTTTCAATAACCTTATTTGAAATTCAGTTCATCTACTTTGATAAAATCTCTAGAGTGTCAAAAAAGACGATCCGAATCGGGAATACAGTAGGGTAAAAAATGAAGGAGAGAAAAATGGCAAGGAATAAAAGTTCGGTGGCATTGTGAACTCCGTGAAGTAAGAAAATAACAAGCTAGGCAAATATAACTAGATGCTAACTTTACGTCTATTAAAAAGTTAAACGCTTGCATCTGCTTCGATTCTCGTTCATCAAGAAATGTCACCTATTGTTTTTAAATACCTTTTAGGGTACAGAATGCGTTTTGATGATGTAGTGGTTCTGCACAGTCCACACAGTGCTTTTATTTTTCGATGTTGTAATTTTTGGAAGAATCTGGGTCTCTTGGTATTTTAACAAAATGATAACTAAATAATTTTTTTTTAATATTTTTGTTCCAATGCATTGAATAATGCATGCATACGCGAATATTTACATACTTTTGAAAGTAAATTCCCCTATCAGTTACTAGATTTTTTTCAATAAGTTTTTTCTTAAAACTTTTTTTTAAGTATGTTTTGGAAACTTTTCTTTTTAAATTACAAATAAAGTTTTCGTTTGGTATTCGTTCCTCATTTCATCATGATATTTATAGCCAACTTATTTGCTCTCATTATCACTTGATATATATTTTAATGACCGAAAAGGAGAGTAATTGGCTATAATAGAAGATAATTTTTATAGCTGGTAAATATATAGAACAGGATTTGCCGATGAAATTTGCAGACATAAGAAGCGCAGATAATATGTATAATATAGGTAATCATTTAAGGCAAAAAAAGAGAGCAAAAACTATGTTACGATATAAATATTCTTAAGATGCCCTGATGTTTTAACATTTAGATGACATATTACATACCATTTGTTAAAAAGGCTTGTTTCTTATCTACTTTACACATGAAGAGTGCATTCTTTCAAATTACGTATTTAAAGCACTAGCGTCACTCAGCACTATGCCATCTAAATAGCCAGCAAATTCCCATGCTTAAGTAGAAGTTATCGACAACCCATTCTAGCTTCGGTAGTTCAGAGGGCAAAGGCAACTTGTGAACCAGATTTTACTGAGTTCAGATTATAGCAGGTAAAAATTATGAATTCACAGTATAGTACTGTTGCAACGTTATCAGCACGTGAGGTGCTGAATGATATGGAATATCAGTTATTGAATAAATATTTCGTGTATACTGCTTATGCACTGGCGAAAAGATTTAAGATTGTCCCTTTTACTTCTTCTGTACATTTAACATACATTTCACTTACCTGTACGCAACATTAAAATTTTCTCTTAAGAACAACATAATGAAAGTCTCTTATGATGTTTAGCGCAGATAATTCTGTTTTCCATGGCTAAAGTGGGATCGATTAATGTTTTTGAGCTGGAATTTGTAAAATCAGAGGACATGAATATTATGAATAAGTGTATAAGGTATTGCTTTTCCCTTCTTAGCATGCCTTCGTGGTATAATGGTCAGGACACTCGGCGCTTATCGAGAGGTTCGTGGTTCGAGTTCCGGCGAGGGCAATACTCATTTTTCACCTCTCCTGCTTTCAAAAAATACCTAATGTCTCTACAGTGGCGCTCGGACAAAAAGGTGGTGGGGATTTGGCAGTTGAGGTGATTTGGGGTGGGGATTTGGGGATTCCTAATCCCCAGTCGCATTTTAAAAAGGGGAGTATGTGAGGTATTTCTCTCGCCTTCTTAGCATGCTTTTGTGGTGTAGTAATCAACACATTCGGCTCATATTCGAGAGGTCCGTGGTTCGAGTCCCGGCTAGGGCATTTTCATGTCTCTTAGCTTCAAAACATTTAATATCTCTGCAAGTGATATGTCACTGTTTAGTGCTTCATATTTTTTTTTCTTGTGTTGGGAAATTTTAATGTACTTCCATGTATCTAGTAAAATTCCTAAAATTGTCGAAAGAGGAAAAAATGGAAATCAACATAAAATACCGTTAAATTAAATAGCAATAACATTTGCCGCAATGCGTTCGAATAAAATGGTAATAGCAATGATATTGATACAAATATATATGTATTATCACTGAAGATATTCGGCTTGTTAAACTTCTGAGGCTACATAAACTAAAAGAATATAAAACAAGATATTTTTCTCAGCTATTTTATTTATAATTTATTTATAAACTAATAGGCAGGATACGTTTATTTGTAAGTTGCAATATTTGTTCTTCTCCAAGAACTAGCAAATTTGAATTAATTATCTATTATTGACAAATAATGTAGTGACTGACTCAAATGAAAATTCTGATCTTACAATTTTGTTATAACAAGATTTGGAGACAAAGAGAAAAAGCTTTTTCAGAACATTTTCAAGACTGTCAGAAAAAAAAATTTGTTTAAAATTCCAAAGTGATCTTTTATCTTTCTTATTAAATTCGTATGCTTAACTACTTGGTATTAGTTTCACTTTGATTTACAAATTAAAAAGTATTTTTAATACTTATTTTATACACGCTTATATTACTAACCTGTCTGGAGCGTCTTATATAATGGTAGGAAATCGCTTTCCACCAAATGATGGGCTGAGCCTCCCGCATTTGTTCGATGTATTGATATACATCCTCAACATCTACTTTGTAGGTGAGCTCGAGCCTAGTTGATGAATGCCAACATTCCACTAGATATACTAAGTACAGCATGACCATAAATGCAAATGGAATATAGATGTACCCATCGTCACAAGGACTTGTTTTCTCTCTGCTGCTTACTGGGAAGTTGTGGAAATTGACAACCAGACGACTCACTTTGGCTACTCTGCACCAGAAAACGACTGCCGCGCAACTCACAACCAAAATTGTTAACAGAAGACATTTGATGTGGCCACACTGCTTTAAGCTCTGTAGTAACGAAATCCTTTGCGGACGTTGCAAATCCTAAAAACAGATTGAAATTATAAGGGACAAAGTACGACTTATTATAGTAATAAAAAAAATCATAGACTTGTATCAATCTAATGTAATAGACAGAAAATACGTATGAGATATCACTCTTAAATATTATATAAAATTATGTACCACACACAATTCCGTACATTATAGTAGAATACATTTTTAAATACTGCCAGACTAAGTTTAAAATTAGTTTCAGATGTAGCATTTTTGTTCAAACTGGAAGTAAAATATGCCAACGTAAAATTTTAAATTAGACAATAAAGCAGTCCTAGATTGACGCAGAATGTAAATTAAACACTGTTAATTTTGAGGGTGATCAGATATAACTCTTTCTTCTCCAGGATAAAAATTACATCCTTTTTGTCTTCTTCGGGAGCAATAACGATTTTCTTCCATTTTACCCTCTTGGTGAAAAGATACCTAATCTGATCATCTTCAAAAAAGTTATTAGACAAATTAATATCATACGTAGATAGGTATGTCTAAGCGATAAGAAACGGAGGACGTGGGCCCTTTACCATTTGGGTTAATCAGTACAGCACTACGTCGACCTTTATCTTACATTTCATATTACATAATACATTACGATGCATGATTTACACATTACATTATATACTACATATCAAATTAATACCTTACCCTAACATTACATTAACTTCACATCAACTTATTGCATTAAAATTCTTTCCTAATAAACCCTATACTGGTAGATTATAAAAGGGTTATTTTGCACAGTATTCGCATTAGACACAGGATACGCATTATATTATCATTATAAACTGGGTACGCATTATATTATACACGGGGAAATTAATGGTACATAGGAACATTATACGCAATTACGCATGATACGGGTTAAATTATTCACAGGAAAATTAGTTATACACAGGTATTGCATTATACAGGATAAATTATACACATGATAAGCTTTATATACTGGATGCATATTGAATTGTCATCAGCACCATGTCAATTGTACCCGTTACTCGATACACTGCCTACATCGTGATGCATAATAATATTATACGGTTTGCATTCACATTGTTTCAGGTGGGCTTTGCATTGTGTGTCATGTTGCTTATTAATCAGTACATACTACACACTACATTACATATTACATTATATATTACGAAACATGGCTTACGCATTAGATTATGTACTACATATCAAATTAACAAGATAGTGCATACTTCGTTTATCAGTACATACTACACTACATATTGCGATACATGATTTACACATTATATTATATTCTACACATCAGATTGAAAAGACGAAATAACGTCTTTCCTTAACATTACATTAACTTTGCAACTACTTATTACATTAATTTTCTTTCCTAATATGCCGTATACTGGTAACAGATACATTATCATCAGATTGTAATAAGGTTGTTTTGCACTGTGTGCGCATTAAACACAGGATGCGCATTAAATTATACACAAGGAAATTATTAATACATAAGAAAAACATTATGCACAGAAGGGGCTATATACGATGCGTGTTAAGTCATACGCAGGGGAATTTGTTATGCACAGGTGAAACATTATGCAGGATAAATTATTATACTGAATAACTTATACGAATGTGCATATTACATTACTCCTTATACTTAACCGGTAAAATTTACAATACCATTCTGTACCGAAGTTCTTTACACTTATAATACATTACTTAATCATTACATTAACATACTTACCGTGTACAAGAAACATATAATGGATTTCATTGGCATTCCTAATATACATAGATTACTTTTGCATTTCCCCTTTCGGCATATTACTGCAGGATTTTACATCTGTGCATTTCTCCGTTATTTATATTTCGCGTTTTAGAATAGGTTCGCGCTATATTCATGTGATTGTATTAGTACGCGTAGTTACATGAACTGTCCTGCATTGCGTAATTTTGCCAGTATTGACACATTGCTGTTCTGTTGAAGGCAGTTTTACGCGCTGCAAAGTGCATAGTTAAATGCGCGATTACTGACCTCGGTACGTAATGTTCATTACTGACTCAGTTCATTTGCAATATTTACAGTTTCAGTTCATGAGCTGCTCGTAGCACATCATGCTGATAGTTATATACATATGGAGTTTGTCTGACATGGTTTTTAATTTACATGATACATGGTAAATGGCGTTGCACACTCCACCTTGCATTTGCATATCATATCTTAGCACGTTTGCTTTAAATTAGACATAAATCTGTGCCCAAGTTCATGAGTTTATCAACTATCTTGTTTATTTTTCGGGCAGTACGTTTGTCTTTAACTATAAACCTGCAGAAAGCCTGCGTGTTTGTAGTTGGAATTGGCAGGTGCAGATCTGCCGTAAGCGTGCATTGGGCAACATAATGATCTGGCGTGCCCATCTCACCACAGATCAGGCCATTTGCGCATGCTTTATGAGACGGTCTAAGTCTACCGTAGGAACATGATAGTGAGCACGGCATCCTGTTTCACCAGTATCCCATTCCTCCTGCCAAAGGCATTTTGCCATGTGTTTCAGACTTTTCTTTAGATATGAAACTGGCCATGGGATGGTGATATGTTCCGCATTGATGTTTCGTGCGGCCTCCTCTGCAAGTTGATCTGCTTGCTCGTTCTCCCTGTTGCCGAGGTGGGCCTTGGTCCATTCTATCCTGGTGTTCAGATGGCTGTGGTCGCGCAGATGTGCCTGAATCTCTGCAATCAGTGGGGAGCTGTGCACAGGGTTCAGAATTGCATACAGCGAGGACAGGATGTCTGTTATAATGAAGCTGTCTCTTTGCCGCTGTTGGATTATCGTAAGTAGAGCTTGTCTGATGGCCACTACTTCACTCTAGAACACGCTGTTGTTTGTGTCCAGGTGACCTTTCCATTATGCTTCGCTGTCGGAGGGCAACATAGACGCAACCTGTATTTTCATCTAGTTTTGACACGTCGGTATAATAGACTAGATAATCTTCTTTTATATTGGTGTTTTGCTTGATGCTAATCTTTACTCCCTGTCCCTGCGTTGAGGGGTGATCGGCAAGGCGTATCATCTTTTGTTCAAAGTCGGCTAGTGTATTATTGTATTGGCTTATTATAGCTCGTCTCTGAAGGTGGTTAGATTGCCAAGTTGAGTAATCTCCTGATAGGCTGCTTCCTTTTCTACGCTCAGATGAAGAGGTAGCAATCCCGCTAGTACGCATAACGCACTTGTAGGGGATGTTCGGAAGGCCTTGGTAGGAGGAAGGGCCTTTGTATGCTAAGTAGATAAGCTTTACTTGACTGGATGCATTATTACATAGATGCTTGGCTTATGCGGCCCTGCATAGTAGCTGACAAAACAGCCGCTCCATGAATTACGACTTTCTCGGCTACTGTTGTGTACAGCGTTTTCTGGATGTAGGGATTGAGAACCCATTTGTAACCCTGCATATATCTTAGTTGTTGGGCTAAAACTCCAGTTTTCGTTTTCAGCTCCAGCACATGGGGGATCCAGTTTAACATTTTGAAGACTCTATGGACTCTATGGCCATTATAGTGGCATCTTTCTCTATGGCCATTATAGTGGCCTCAAAAGGTTAATTTGGTGTCGAAAAGGATTCCAAGATATTTCAGCACTGGAGTGATGCGGAGGAGATATCCATTTAAAGTTATCCTTGGATGTTTTGCCAGAGATCCGCTTTTTTCGAGACAAGCAAAATTTGATATTTGGCCTCTGCTATCTGAAGTTTTAGGGCTGTGCATCTCTCCTGAAAAAGGGAGCAGGATTCGATTGCATTGGCCTGGAGCTGTTCCTTGGTCCTTCCTTTGACGATTAGGGCTGTATCGTCTGCATAAGCAATGATCCTTGTATAGTCGGGCCATAGGTTGTTGAGGACCGTTGAAGATTATGTTCCATAGGAACGGTCCGGGGCATGAGCCTTGCGGGCATCCCTCTGTCTGATCTTGTTCTATAATTCCATTGTTATGTGGAAGGATCACCCGGCGATCCGCTAAATAATTTACAATGGTGTTGTAAATATAGCTTGGGCAGTTAGCGGTTCGTAGAGCTTGTAATACTGCTGGCCACCACAGCGTATCAAAAGCGCTCTTAGGATCTATTGAAATGAACGCTGTGTGGTAGCCAGATGATCTGTTAGTCATTATTTGGTTTTAGACTTCCATTAGGGCATGCAGAGTTGATTTTACTGGGCTAAAGCCAAATTGAATTGAACTCAGGAACCGGGTTCTATGCAGATGGTGTCTTAGCCTTGTCATGAGTATCTTTTCGAAAACCTTTCCCAGGGTAGAGAGTAAGCAGATCGGTACTCGATCGATAAATATGTATAAGTATCTATCTATCTATATGATTATATATATTGTATATATATATATATATATATATATGTATTATCGTTAAATCTATTTAGTGCGAATACAAGTTATTATTACTTGCGCAATTGCTGCCAAAGTTAGTTAATAATAATTTTATTTCCTAAACAGCATTGATTAATTGATTATATTATCTCCTAAGTTTAATTAAAGTAGAATGTAGAATTATTTTAATAGTGTGCATCCATACTGGTAAGTTATATTTTGAAAGATGTTTTGAAGTAATTTGAAAGCAAAATGTTAATAATGTTTTAACGGGGACTGGAGTTAAATCATCACGAAGAATAATATTTCAATTGTAAAAGGAAAAATTAAAACATGTAATCATTGTCATTGATCGGAAATTAGTTGACTTTTCAAGGGGAACAAACCAACTCCCGTTCAATGAACAATAATTGATAAAAATACGTAAATACGAAAGTGTTTCGTCTTTACTCGAGTTATAAGTTAAAGCGAAACCGGGAATTCTTGTCAGGCCAAATATTTCCGCGAATAGTAGGAATTATGAACCAATGCTGATATTCAAAGAACTTATTCTTATGAAGCATTTTAGTCAATTGAATTTGGAGTAAAAATCAATTACTGTAGAGAAATCCTATAAAACTCGAGTAACCGTCCCCGACACTTTCATGTTTATGCATTTGAGTACTATATTATTTGTAGAAATTAAACATTGGCAATTGTCATTATGAATTCGAATTCAAAGTAAAGTTGAAATAAACATAGAAGATTATAAAAAAAAAGGTAAATAATGCAAACTTTGTAAAAACAAATCAAAGAAAATATAAAAATAATATAAAAATAACATAGAAAATAATATAAATAAGACCTGGCAACCTGAATATCATACAAAACCATCAACTAAAAACACTAATGAGTTATGGTACAAAATTTAGACCAGTCAGAAACATGACTACAAATTACTGTTACAAGACTTTCGAAAACAACATCAACGAATTTATAGTTAAAGCAAGCTATCAACTGAATTTACCCATAGATACCTTCTTAAAATGGAAAGCTAAAATTCTTCAACGCATATCCACCGAAATCAGTCACCTCAAATTTAAAAGTACACTGAATTGGTCGCAACTTACATCAGATATTAATAAATTAAAACAGCTTTTTACTATTATAAAAATAGATAAAGCAACTAATAACTTTAGCATTATATGAAAACAATTCTACGCTGAAATTATTCATAAAGAACTTCTCAACGCAACTACTTATCAATTAGCCAACCTTACAGAAACATCTATAATAAACAGGATTAAAACTTTTCATAAGAAACTCAATATTACTTTCAATGCAAACTACAACAGATTTACTAATCTTTATGCGATTCCCAAATTCCATAAACACCATTAAAATTTAGATTTATAGCTAATGGAACTAATAATTACAAGAAAAATGTAGACTATTATTTTTCAATTCAACTTAATAAAATCAGTAAATTTATTTTCAATGATTGTAACACTAATCATAACTATTGCTGGATCATTCATAATAACACTCCTGTCATTAATACCATTCATACCATTAACATCCAAAACATTAACTGCTATGATTTTGAAAACTTATATACCTCACTTCCTCTAGAAGAAATCTATACCAGTCTACTTGATCTACCAAAACTTTTCCCTAATATACTCAATATCATGACTCTTGACAAATGGAAAACCTACCTAAAATGCACACTTTGTCATAACTACATCAAGTTTCAAAATCAACTTTTTAAACAAGTCAGAGGATTGCCAATGGGCTTACATTCCAGCACCTCGATCTGTAATATCTTTTTATTTGTCAAAGAGTTTAACTTCCAAAAAAATCTACAACCACAAGAATTAAATTACTACAAACACACCTACAGATATATTGATGACCTTATTACAATTAATAATTTTGGTAAAATTGAACACTCCGAGATTTATCCGAATTGTCTTACACTTAATAAAACTAATAATTCACAAAATAGCATAGACTTTCTAGATCTTCAAATCATTAACTACAAAAAAAATTTTACTTTTTGACAAAACAAGAAACTTCAATTTCAATACTAACAAATTAATAAATTGGAACTCCAACATATCCAAAAAAGTAATTAACAATGCTATAATTAATCAAATACAACGAATTAAAACTATATGCAGAGATACAATAGATTTACAACGCGAAATTTTGATCCTTATCAAAATTCTCAAAAATAATCTAATTCCCTTTCAATTTATCAACCATTGCCTTAAAAGAGCAGGCGTTAAATACTCACTCTAAATCATTTAACTGATAGGGATATGATAATTTATTCCTAAACCTGAGAAGGCGGTATAAGTTGGATGACTGTCAGTTGGAAGATTTGTATATAGTGTAATTACTCAATTGTATATATTGTAAAAAGCTAATTGTCTTCAGACATATACTGTTACTATACTGTTACTAAAAAAATGGGCCTATTTCATGCCTTTAGACTGTCTATTAGCTCTTGGACAGTGAAAATGCCTTTTTCCTTTCTTAAATTCTTAATCATTGCGACACGACAATTAGCCAGAAATTAATTAATTTCCAATCACTAATTTCCATTCAAAAAATCTTAACAGACGGTCTCTCTCAGATAAGAACTCCACAAAATACATCCCTCAAGAATTCCAAGTCCCACCCACTACCATAAATTACTTCACCCAAGTCTTACCGACTGATATTATTCAAAGCCCCTACTGCCGCTAAGAATTTTCGGACACCCTATACTTATGAGTCAGACACGAAGAGAACACTTTGCCAACTCCCCCACTAGAAAGAATGTAAGTTACTTAATACCTTTTCTGGCCTTTATATCTTCATGTACATTCACTGATCTTATTTATATTATTTTCTATATTATTTTTATATTATTTTTATATTGTCTTTGATTTGTTTTTACAAAGTTTGCATTATTTATCTTATTTTGTAATCTTCTATGTTTATTTCAACTTTACTTTGAATTCGATTTCATAATGACAATTTCCAATGTTTAATTTCTACAAATAATATAGTACTCAAATGCATAAACATGAAAGTGTCGGGGACGGTTACTCGAGTTTTATAGGATTTCTCTACAGTAATTGATTTTTACTCCAAATTCAATTGACTAAAATGCTTCATAAGAATAAGTTCTTTGAATATCAG